GTGGCGTGAGAATCAAGACATGAATGAGATATTTCGCCTTTTCCACGCTCACTCCAGACCCATTCACCTTACTTTTTTTTTTGTGCAATCTAGAGAAAGCAGAACTAACGACAGTCACCTTGTTTGAAATCTCCTTTGTTATTGAACGTCATTGAGCGGCTCTCCTTGTATTAGGTGTTTGTACAGAGTAACGCCAAGGATTATGAATTTAGACATAAATCTTAAAAAGATTCCTATACCAAGTTAGGAAAGCATTCACCACTGATCCATAATCGTCGTCAAACTATGGGGTCATTAAATCTGCCATTTATCATCGTTCATCTATCAATACCATCCATCCAGTTGGTTAGGAAGATCTATCTACCTCTCCATTGGACAAATATAACGGCAGGGTATAAAGCGCACGGCTCGACTTCTTTGTTGTTTTGTAAGCCAAAAGAACGTAATAACTTTGTAGTTTATCAATGCTCTAATTATTGAATTTTTTTCAATATTTTTTTTACCCTTCTTCGTCATTTAAAAATTCAAGGAAACCCCTCAAGAAATGCAATCAAATATTATCATTTGCGTGTCTCATATAAACTTCAATCATTACTACAACGTATTTGGTTGCTCATAGAATTTGATTACCTTATATACGTGTATCTACTTGTATATATACTTATGTACATATTTCGTGAATTTTGCAGAAACGTATTGAGTGAAACCGTGAATTGAGTCACAAAAGGCCTACAAGTCAGTCATAAAATTTAAAATATTTTTTGCGCTTTAATCTACTATGCAATATAGATATACATACATATATGTATGTATGTATACGAATAATTATTTTTGTTCATTTTCGCTGTTTTTAAAATGATTAAGCGCTTGGTGGTGGTGATAATATTAAAGAAAACGCGTTGAAAGTTTGAAGGCAAGTCGCTCGGTGTATTCGTCATATAAATTTCTCACAAATCAGTGACACAGTGAACTAATGTAAATTATTGCTAATTTTGTACTATTCAAGTTTAATTGTGATGACACCTTTTTGGATAGGTGATATTCACATATAAGTAGGTGAATTCATACATATAAATACATACATATATATATATATATATATATTTACATTAGTAGTGTAAATATATGTGTATATATACATAAATATATATACATATATATATATATTTTTTTTTTGAAAAGCATTTCCGGTCAAAGTTGCTCTTTACCAGCAATTTGAAATGATGTTTCTTGCTAAAATACTTATACATGCGTATACGTACATACATATGTATATGAGTATATAACTGATTTTTTATATTTCAAATACTTTATGCTATTTTGTTCGTCTCTAACCTAATATGGTGAAGCCGCAAAGCACACAAAAATAAAATTAATACGAAAACTATGTACTTTCTTCACTACGTTTTTATTTTTATACTCTTAATCATATGCACTATGCATTTTTCTTACTAACTTCTTAGAAATGTAGTTTGATTTTCACCCCCTCTTCGTTTTGCTGCACTTATCGCTGCGACCTCGTACGTATTTGAATACTCATTGCCAACCATTTAATTGAGAACGATTACGCAGAGCTTTGCAAGTGATGACCGATGGATGGATGTATGCCTTATTCTATTAGTGCATTGTTAGTGTTGTTGTTGTTTGCTGCAGGCATAAACGTTGTAATAAAAATGTAAAAAATATGAATAAATACATATATTTATGTAAAAATAAATGAGTGACTACGCTTACGACACTACATTGTGCAACCTCCTCCCATATAATATATGTATGTATGTATAAACTTGTGTCGTTGTTGTTGCAAGAGTATTATTACTAAAAGTGCGAACAAACTCCACGGCGCGAATGATAACGAAAACAAAGCCTGACAGGCTTCAATTAATGTTGAAAATATGTTTAAACATATTTATAAATATGTATGTATGTGCATATGTATTTTGAGTACATTTGTTGATGGCCTGTTTATTTTGTTTTATACTTTATTACTAATTTTTTTTTTTTGTTTAAGAGACTGCTCCAATTTTCTACCCAGACTAACCTTCCACAATTGCAGAGACTTGCCATTACTGAGTTTTGCCTTATTTTCACTCCACATTTAAAGGAAAAATAATCGCAGTTTTTAAGCTCCTCTAAGGTTCTAGTAATGAGAACTTACTGTGCAACGGATGATCTAAAAATTTGGCTAAGACCGACACATCTTTCAATTCGTCCATCGCCAGGATGACTTAAATTTCAAGCGGACCAAATGCATGGGAACAGGAAAATAATCTTTAAACCATTTGCGAAGCCACAAATCCGGCGTTAGTTGGATTTTGGTCTTTACGATACTAAAAAAACACAATATCTTCTTATTAGTTACGTAGTCACCGCTTTCACGGTTGTAGTTCAGTTAAAAAAAGCACGCCATTTGCTTATTCTTTTCGCAGATTTGCGACAATATAAAAAATAAGGTGAAGCCAAGCCCTTCTACACCTGATCGTTCGAACGGAGTGAAGGTTTTCTTCTTTCGCTACTTCCACTAGTGGGTACTGCTGCTCCGACGAAATGACTGCTGTTCCTTAATTCCTCGTATATATTTATGTATGTGCATATATACATATGTATATTTCGAACAGTTTATCGTTTCATTGTCTTTGATAGCCGCCTTTGGTAACATACAAAGGACAGTTAAATTTACGTAAAGCATTAATGTACATATGTATGTATCTCAAAAGCATCTACCGTCGATTCATCGTCCAAAAGTAGCTATTGGTAAGTGCTGTATTTATATGCTGATATCACTGATGTCGATGCTGGTTCCTTGAGAGACGAATATTGAAAAATTGCGAAAAACGCACACCAATACATACAAATGTACAGAAATGAATTTTATTAATTTAATTTTTAAGCGGAACATCCTTTTTATTTAATTACTGCTGACACTGCCTTGTCCGCTTGACATAGCAGGGTATTTCATATAATCTATTATCGACAATAATCTTACTAATTTATATAGGGTGATCAATATGCCTTTTAAAGTAAAAAAAATTTAATGTCTGACTGTAGTTTTTTTGATTATCATTTTGCCGTTATTCTTGTTCGACAAAGTTATTTGTTGTTTATAATCAAACATAATCTTTACATATGCAGGTAAGGACAGACCCATAAAAAATATGTACATATACTTGTGTACGTAACCTCAAAAACCGGCACTTCCGACACAGTCGTTCATATATACATTTGTAAGTACACATAGGTATATTTATTTTCACATTTCCATAGATAGCATTTCCCGCGAAACTCCATTGACAAACACGCGCACACGCGCAATGTACGCCATTGCAGTAGCCGTAGCCTAGAGACCCCAAGAGTGAGTGAGTAATTGCCGGAGGTGCCGTTGCAAAATTAAAAATTTAAATCTCCAACCTTTGAGCTGGTACTGGCGCTGCTGTTGTTATAATTAAAGTGAAAATCCTTTTTTTTGTTTGTTTTGTACTTTTGCTTTTTCTTTTCACATTTCTTCTGCACGTTGATTTGTCTGCATTGTCCAGAATTGAGAGTGGGTTCTGCATTCAGGCTGCATTCAGCACTTTCATCATTGTTCAACACTCAGTAGGTTTTGTCTGCATACAAACATACATATGTATGTAGGTACATTGTTTTCATAACATTTTCCTTTTGCTTTTCCGAATGGCTCACATGTAATACACTTTTCTCTACCTCTCATACAAACAAACTCGGCCATTGTTGACCGTTATTGTTATGCTATGGAAATGAGCATGTCTTCCTCACGCTGTACGTACATACATATATATGTATGTTTGTAGGTATGAAGCTGTCGCATATGCTCGTTTGTGTATTTTTAATTAATTAATTATACGGTAATTAATGTTAACATAAGTACGTGTGTACATACAAACATACTACGTTATTGTTAAATAACTTTTTCTTTTTCGTTTGATTTTCATTTTTCTTTTTATTTAATCCTTTACCTTTACTGGTTACATTTGTTTAAGCTCACACGCATAAACATACCAAGTCGTATGTATGTATGTATGTATGCTTGTTTATTCACTTGTTTGCCAAAGCCGACTAGAATTACAATTGAGGGTCGCTCGTCCAACCATGACAAGCAAAATAATAACAGAGACTATTCCGGCTCTGACCATCTCCCGCTCACGGCTATCTCTTTACAACCTCACACGCGCTTTAAAGAACACTCCCATTTGTTGGACAGCAGCTTTTTAGCTTTTAGTTTTTTACACAAATATACATACACAAGTACACTCATATTCATCTACCTGCGGAAATAGTAATAAAAATATTTTATTATTCTGTGCGGATATTATTTTAATATTTTCCGAGTAATGTAAAGAATTATCAATAATGTCAGCGGTAATAGAATCTAAAATATGTATAGTATGTAGATATTATCTGCTAGACTCACACGTATTTATAGTATACATATATGTATAATTGACACTTTGTAATCGTTGAAGTGATTTCCGGCCCATCCATTTCTCTTGATCCTCATATGCGTCTTGATATTGAAGAAATGAAAGAATCTACAGTTCATTCTAAGCCGCCTCCGAACAGCCACTGGCTTGGATTTTTATAAGGGGCTTTGATTTTCATGTCAGAAATACACTCGGAGAGCTAGATAATCAATACAGAGAGGCGAATGCAATTAGAATAATTATATTTTGGTATTTGGTCAGATCGGTAATGGAACCCTGGCCGTCCAAATGTTAGTACATAATATTAATCACGCGGCTATTGGGACCGTCAACACTCTTTTTTATACACTAGATAGATTTTTAACCACCTTTTCATTTTTGTAATCGGTCAATAAAGTTTCTTCCGGGTCCCAAAAGACAGTAGCAACGAGTTTCCCACTTGCCTGTGACAACTTAAACTTTTTGGGAGATGCTGTGACCTTTTCAGGTTTATAATTATCTACCCAAGTTTCGTCTCCAGTAACAATTCGAATCAATACACTATCCTTATTTTCATTACAGATGCCTAAAAACGTACGTGAGCATTCTTAGCACACAACTTGCGCTGAATTTAATCATAGAAAGATGATCTACCAACGAGTTGCTTCTTCTTAAGTCGAGCATCGTGGCGAATGATTTTTTCAACTTTTTGGATAAGTGTTGGTGTGGTTACCTAGATGCTCCTGCCTGCCATCGTATCGTTTTCAAGGGATTCCCTTCCTAATGAGCCTAATCACTCCCCTACAATGCTCACATAAAAACGCTTCTTGTGCTGTATGGCTGTTCGTACACAGATCATTCAGATAGGTAATGTTTGCCAGGCTCACTTTCACTCGTTTGCCCACTGTATGCCACTGTGGCCCGTAGCATAAGAGATTATAATACTTTCCGCTTTGGCATCAGCTCTCGAGATCGACAAGAGTTTCAGTGACATTTGAAGTACTCTCACCCGTTTAGGGACATCTTTTCTAGGTGTGGGTACCTCTTACCCGGTTATATCTGAAAAAAAAATAAGTTGTGGTAACCAGTTCATCAGCAGTCAAGACTAAAAGAGAGGAAGCTTAAGTAGAGTCGCTTCGAGAGTTGCGCGCTTGGCTTGGGAGCCGTCGATTGGAAATTAGCAGCAAAGTACTCTAGATAAGCATAGATAGAAGCGTGGTAAAGATCAGCCGCGCTATAATCGTGTGAGCGGTGTCTATACCGATTAAAAGCTTTCTTGTCAAGGTCTTCGAGGCAGATCGATCTCTGCCCTAATGACCATTTTCTATTGCCATCAGCAGTCCTTTCTTGTGTAAATTTAGCATTCTCGTCAACCAACCAAGAAGCCGAAAACTGAAAATACGCTCAATACAAATGTCTGCTTGCACTGTATCCCAGTCTACAGTCTCATATCGGTTTTTGCATAACCGAGCATCTTTCAGTGTTCATTTCTAAAAATAAATTAATAAAAAGCTTCTATAAACACGCTTTCGTTTAAATTTTAATATTACTTTTATTTACACTCTCCATCTTTCTTTCTCTCCCTTACAGCTGTCACAACCGAAACCATCTACCGTAAATGCAAACAATTAAGGCGAAATTTTCCAGTAACAACGACTAAATATTAAAAATTCACAAAATACACAGAATTATTTAAAGCGAAGGACATAAAAATGCCACGCAATGGCTGTGAGGCCAATGGAGGCGGTGTAAGTGATGGTTGCGCTTATTCCGACGAGCTGATCATGGAGCAGGGTGTTTCGTTCAATGTGCGGGTGAGTAGGCATTAAATTACAAGGCATAATAATTGTACTAAGGGCGGCGTAGACTTCCGGCATCTTTGTGCGCTCCATTATTTGGTAGGCGCAAAATCATAATCGAGCAGCAGTGGTGGCATCCTGTCGACCCGTAAAGTGAAAATGAGTAGAAGCGTAAGAGCGCATTGCGACATTTGCTTTATGCATTTCCTGCTTCCGTTTTGACAGCGCCGCAGCTAAACGCGCTGGTATTTCTTCTATTGTTCACTCAGAGTTCAATGCACGTTGGGCTGCTGTAGACTGTTAACGCTTAGACATGGCTTTTAGAACGGCAGAGCAAAACGTAGTATGAGGAAGCTGTTAATGGCATTTCGTCGTTTCGACGTTTATTACTCAACTCATTGCTTTTCAAAAGTCAGAAGGAGGCACTTCTTCTTTTTCCTCCACTTCTTTCTAAGTACGCCTCTTTCTTTTATTTAGCCTTACTTCCGCCACTTACGTTGCTTGTCAGACTCACACCTTTCAATCAGTACTCGCGCACAGCTGTTCTGCAACCACTTGTGCATGTATGTATGTAGCTGTGCCTGTTACGCTACTATTCTGGCGTCTACTAGTGCCAATGCCAATGTCGTCGTCTCCGTTGCCGCCACGCAGAAGCGCTTCACCACTTCCTCTGCTTTCTACTTACCGGCATGCCCTTTCGTTCGTTTACACATTCATTCAGTTTTGCGCTCAAGTACTTACATACATACACGCTCATACCTATGCACCTTCAGCGCCGCCATTAAATTTTTTCTTTTTATTTCTTTTAATTTCTGCGCGTAGTAAAATTTCTTTTGTTTGCTTTTTTCTTCTTTGACTGCACTTTGGCGCTTATGTACATGTGTTCGTACTTGTTGCCCACCTGCCTCTCAACCTCTAATTCGGGCGCACACCGTTGGTATAATACGAGCGCTCATATACATACATATATACATACGACCCACCTCTTCATCGCCTTGCCACTTGGTTTTTATTTGCCTACTTCTCTCAAGCTGCAGTATTCTAAACGCAAACCACTTGCATTCACTCACTTGCCACACGTTTCTTATTTATTTATTAATTTTCCTTCTCTTTTCCAGTACACCGGCTGTGTGGAGGTGAAAACTTCAATGAAATTGCTGAACTTTGAAACGAGAACCAAAGTCGCCCGGTGAGCATACACTTAAAAGTACTTTTGTAAATATACGTACATATTTGGTTTATTCGGGATTAGTGGGTCGGGCAGCCATAGAAATTTTGCGGTTAGATGAGTGGGAGTCAGCTTGGGGGATTTGTGTGAAATGGAACTTAGTGCTGGGTCATGGCTGGATTTGCATTTTGTGGTCGCTGAATTTGGCATGGAAGAAGGCTAAAGAGTTGCTAGATATCACTGACAAATACGAATAAGAAGTTGGAAGTCACAGGGGAAATGAAATCGGATAAGAAGATTTGCCTGTTACTTTGAATTTGATCCATATTTAGTTGAGAGTTGAGGGAAAGCATGTACCTGTGCCTACTTGTAGTAAAACCGCAATGCAAATGAACCATAACCTCATACCGCCCGACCCGCTGGAACTATTCAATGTTTAGTCTAATTGTGCAACCCTTTAGTATGGATTGGTTGTTGTTTTTGTAGTGATTCCATCACTTCGCTTGGGAGTAAGCAAAGTTAATCTAAGCCATCGAGGTCAGTCGTTTCTTGGTCTCGGAGCAAAGCGAATAGGGTTTTAGGGGACATGCAAGGATGGTTAGTGTTGTTGTTGTTGTAACCGCAAAATTATTCCCCAAAGTACTTTTTGGGGAATGTTGTGGGAGTGACAGTCCTTGGGCGGAAAAAATCCGGGTCGTTCCGGTATAAAGACCCGACTGTCGCGGGAATTATTGGATTTTAGTCGCCTCTTACGACAGGCATGCCTTACCGCGGAGTTGACACTACTACAGTTTTAGGACTTCAGTTATGCCAAGAGTGCTAGAATCTCAGAAGGCCGCTCGAGTTCGCAGCGAGGGCTTGTAATTGGTGGTGGGCGGTTTCCAGTGACAGCACTCTTGGAAAGAAGAGATATTCCCTGCAAGATCGTAGATAATGCTTTTGAACTGGATGTGTAGATTTTCTGTAGGGATTAGGTTTCATATCCCGACGGTGTCTTGACAGAATAATAGCTTCCTCATCAGGGTGCTACTAGGTACCGGCGTCTCGTTTGGAACCGGAACTTTCACCTAATCACATTCAGAGGTAGGTACTTCTTTGTGTAGCTGATTAAAACAGTCGCATGCACCGGTTTTTTGACCTTCAAACTCAATTATGATCACGTAATGGAGTTAACACACCTCTGAGCCTAGATTCCCGAGATAAAGCAATACTTGCGTGAATTCTGATCAGACTGTCTAGACTCTTGTGGTAAAAACGCGCTGCACGAAGAATCTTTGACCATAGGTGATCGACCATGTGAGACGGAAGCTCGACAGAGATGTCGTTCGGGTAACATACATATCTACGTAGCGACGACGAAGATCTTTGCAGACCAAGAATTACAGGTACACTGGCAAAGTCCTTTGAAATTAGGGTTATGTTTCTCGAATACTCTAAGTTTCACAGAAAAAAGTCTCGTCCTAAGCTGAGCCCACCTTTATGTCTACAATTTTTCATTAATTTTTCTTTATCACACCATTCCTCCACCCGCATCTCCAGTGAATGCATCAATCGCGTCTGTGAAGCTGCTGGTCTCAAATCGGTCGGCAAACGGCGTGTGGACAAGAAGATCCTACAATACATATCCGATCGGCCGCACATGCAGAATGCGGGCACAAATGTTATCATCAATGTGTCGAGTCGAGCATTGGATTTGGTGAACGCCGAGACGGGACAATGCATAGCCAGTCACAATATGCCGCACATTTCATTTGCATCCGGCGGTGATTCGGTAAGGATGGAATTGCATGGCATGACAAGCATGCACACACACGCGTATTTATACGCAAATTAAAAGCCGGCGTGTGTATATGTGTGTGTGTGCTTAGATTATTTGCTGATTTCTTTGTTATTTTATGCCGCCTTTCTGCTCCACACAGGACACTTTGGACTTTCTGGCTTACATCGCTAAGAATGAGGACGAGTGGCGTGCCTGTTACGTGCTCGAGTGCATTGGCGGACAGAGTGAAGACTTAATATTGACAATCGGTAAAGCGTTTATGTTGCGCTTTAATGCAATTAAACATTTGAAGTGAGTTCGATTGGAATTTTTAGGTATTTTGTTTGAAAATAATTATTTTTCCTTTGCAATATTTTGCAGAAATCAAACCGTTTCGAATCTCAACACACCTGCGGAGAACAGCAAAGACTACTACAATGATTTGCCTGACAAATTACCGCCAGATCTGTTGAGCGAGAATGATCTACCGCCAGAGTTACAGAAGCAATTATTGTTGCAACAACAACAACAACAACAACTGCAACAACAGCAACAGCAAGCGACACAAACGTCATTACCCCACCAACACAAAGTCGGTCAACTGAATTTGAAGAAACCGCGCGATCGTCTTAGCAGCAATTTGATCGACTTAAATAGTCCGCCACCCGATCAGACCACCACCAAAATGAATCTGAACAATTTCGATGCAATGACTGAAGCGGAAGGCGCTTGTGCATTGCCACAGGCGCCAGTGCGCGATGTTTTCGATTTGCGTGAGTACCGTCGCACTCATTTGTTGCTCTTGAATCCAAATCCAAATAAATCTCTCGACCTTCCCCACACAGAACCCTTCTCGCTCTCCGCCGAAGTGCAGCGCTCACAGTTGAACACCGAACTGTGGTTCCACCCGGGCATTAGCCGACAAATCGCTGAAGGTATTCTTAAGAATGATGGTGATTTTCTGGTACGCGAATCTCAGGGTAAATATGGTCAATATGTACTGACCGGCTTGCAGGTGAAAACACCTAAACACTTGCTGCTCATCGATCCAGAAGGTGCGGTGCGTACAAAGGATCGCATTTTTGAGAGTATAAGTCATTTGGTCAACTATCATTGGGCTAATGCATTGCCGATTATATCGGAAGATTCGGAGTTGGTGTTGCGTAACCCTGTGTTGTGTCAGTTGCCAGCTTCGCAACAGCAGCAGCAGCAACAACAACAACAACAGCAGCAGCATCAGCACCTACATGCTCATCACCATCATCATCAGCAACAACAACTACAGCAGCAGCAGCAACAACAACAACAACAACAACAACAACAACAACAACAACAACAACAACAACATTCACATGCACATCATGCTGCGCGTCCAGTGGTGAATTCTTGATGAGCACATCGTAATCAGCCTGAGTAGGCGTAATTAGGAAAAGATTGAGATTTTTAATATAAAATATATATTTTTTTAATATAATTTACCGCTAGTTATTATATAGGTTGCACATACAAAGCATATCTAGTGAGTGTAGTAGTGTTGCAGGAATTTGAAAATTGAAAAATGTATAAGTGTGTATTTTGTATGTATAACGGTTTTGAAGGAATGCGGTTTGCAGCCGAAAATTCTTGAAAACAAATAATTTTTAAAGTGTATTAGTTAATTGTTATCAGCTGTATTTTATAGATTTTAATTTTTTTTTTTCAAAATTCAACTAAGAAATTGTATGCATGTTTGTACTGTGATTTTATAATATGAATGTACAGTTTTTTTCGCTTTAATTTAAAAAGGAAATAAATATTAAATATTTGTTTGTATGTAAACATAATATAATTTGAATTTTATTTTGTAGATTAAAAGATGTTTCTCAAAAATTTACTTTAAGCCCATATTGTAGATTGTAGATAGAAATTATGGCAATTTTTTTAGTTATTTTTATTTGTTTAGTATCAATTTATAAATTATTTTATTTGGGTTAATTTTATTTGCTTATTTAATTTTACTTTATATTATATTTATTGATTTTTAATGTGTAACATTATTTGAATTTATTCTTATTCATTTTATTTTGCCTCATATTAATTTTGTATAGAATTTAATTTTATTTTATGCCATTTCATTTTACTTTATGCACATACATACATATGTATATTGTTTTATATTTGTTCTTATTTATTTCAGTTTACCTTAATTTATTTTTGAATGAAAAGTTTTTTATTTTATTTTGCATTCTATTATATTTTTTATTTATCTAATTTTACGTTATAATATTTTTTTATTAATTTATAATAAAGATTGGTTATATTATATTTTATTCCCTTTTATTTATTTTTTTCATGTTTTCTTAAGTTTCGTGGACAACGCATCTTTTTGTTTTAGTTTATTTGATTTTCCTTTATCTTATTTTATTTCGTTTTTTTTTTAATTTGTTTATTATATTTTTTTACTACTATAATCTATATTATTTTATTTTATTTTTCCCCCCCATTTTATAATATTACTTTTTTCGCTTTATATTAATTAATTGTATTTAATTTCACTTTAATTTAATTTTATTTTACTTTATATTGTTTTTTAAGTGTTATATTTGTTCATTTTACTTCATATGAATTATTCTGTATTATTTTATTTACCTTTTTTTCTCTATTCTAATTTATTTTATTTTATTTTAACTTAATTTATTTTTTAAAATTACATATTAATTATTTGTAATTTTATAGGATTTTTTATATTATTTTTTTTTTAATTATTTCAATAATTTATTTTATCTCTATTATTTGTTTCTATGCAATCCTTACTTAATTTTTCCACATAAATGCATATCAAAGCTCTAGCTTTTTACTTGTTTGTACTACAACAATATAAATTTTACAACGCCAAGCGATAAGAAATTAATTGACATACATAAAATACATACCGATACATAAATATATATGTACTTACATATTTACGTAATTAAATTTAAACATAAAATATAATTAAAAATGTAGAAATTGAAACGATTAGTTCAGGTACAAAAAAAAAAATAAAAAAAAATTATTTTTTAGGAATTAATTATTTAAATTTTTGCTTCAAAGTGAATTTAAATATTTTCATTTTACATTCCAGAAGAGTAGCAGACGTTTGTTCGAAGAATTGTTTACATTTGCGAGCTAAAAAGATTTTTCAATTATTTTTAAACATATAAAAGACTGGTATAAATTGAAAATTATGCAGTAAACTGATTGGGATTGAAAAGTTAATTAAATTTTGCTGAATTTCTTTTCCACAAACTTTTCTATGACCCTTAATGGACTAAGAGTTATAAAAAATCACAGCAAAATCAGTTTATTTCGCTTACGAAGTATTTTGATCGAAATGAAACACAAAATATAGCCCATAAATATTATATTACAGTTAAATTTATATGAACATTTACATATGTATGTAAATAAATGGAAAACACTTTTTATAAAATGCTTTGCAAAAACTACAGGAATTTTCAAGGAAAACATTTTATATGTGTCATAAAAGTTATAAAAAACTTTATAGTAACTTCAATAGAGCGCCGGGTCAGTTTTGAAATTTCAAAAAATTCAGCATACTGAAGAATCTAACATATGTACATATGTATGTAAAATGTCAGATAGTTTTATACAAGTGTGCACATGCACACATAAAAGTCCTCACATACACGTACATATTTATTTTGATAAATATTATACTTACCTACATACATACATACAATAAATTTGTATGGATTAATTAAACGATATTAAATTAAAAAAAAATAATATTTGTATGTAAATGTTAAGATAGTAAATAGAAAAAAATCAAGAAATTAAACGGGTATAAATATGTTTAGTATTATGAGACATACAACTGTATACTATATGCATACATATTTGTTTGTACATACATATATTAACAAAGAAAACAATTACAAAATAAAAATTAAAAATTAACGAAGTAATATCTAGATTCAAAATCATACCACTGGCATATATGTAAAAAATAAGTCTCATTATTCAAAGCATTTGATATAGTACATACATACATAGTATGTATATATACCTACATATGTATGTATGTATGAATGTATGTACATAATAAGCGTAAAACCCATGCAGAGAAAAGTTTTTTTTATTGAACAAATTGCGTAAAAATATGTTAAAAAAAAAAAAAAAAAAAAAAAAAAATACATCCACCCACTCATTTACATACATACAAATATGCATATATCTGTACATAAGTACGTACATATGTATATCCCCTATCCAAAATGCCTTACTCATCCGATAGATACCTACATACATATGTGTGTATACACATATACATATGTATATATATATATACATATATATTGTATATGGGTAAGCACACGTACTTACATACATAGCTATGTACACACTTATGTATATATATGCATAATACGTAAAACTGAAAACTATTTGAATGTTAAACTCATATACTACTATGTATTAAAAAATAAATATTTATAACATTATTAATAATCATTTATTATATACTTACATATGTAAAATTAAAGTAAAAAAAATGTGTATGTATTAGGAACATAGGAAATAAAATCCATGAAAATATTAAAAAGTCTTTAGTATTCAATTGATGAAAAATCACTCATATTTCCATATTTTATATACAAATCCTTCGAAATCTTTAAACAAAACCAAACAACTGGCAGCACTAATAGCAGAGAACGTAAATACGTATTTACGTTCTCTAGTTGTGTCATCACATTCCTTGATTAAATTTTTTTTAATTATTATTATTATTATTTTTTCTTAATGTCAGTTTTGTGATTTTTTTTAATATTTTTTTTTATTAATATTAATCCTTTTTCTTTCTTAATTTTATTTTTTTTATTTTTCTATTTTAATTTTAAATGTGTATATTTTTTATTTTTAATTTATATATTTTTTTTATTTAATTAATTTTCTTATTTACCCGTTTTTTTGAAATTTTTTTTTTTTCAATATTATATTGTAGTATTTTTTTGTGATTGTTGATATTTCTTCCGCTTTAAATGTATAAAAGAATGAAAACTTAAAAGGTATTTTAACAACAAAAAAAAAAAATATTAAGTATTTTCCTACATTGGTCAGCTTTGTTTGTTTATATTTGTGTTCGTACTAAGCAAAACCCGTTACGGTGCTAAAGGTTATACTCATATGTATATAGTTATCCTTGTTTTTTTGATTAAAATTTGACTCGATTGATTGATTAGTGTATTTTATTACATATGTAAACAGGACACGATTTCTACATGCAGTGACCACACATTTCCTGATTATTAGACAAAACGGTACATATGTGACGTTGTCTTATGCCTTAATGCGGTTTTATGCCTTCAATAAACGGTTAAGTTTCTCTCAAATATTATTGCAAATCCTTTAACAGTGTGAAGTTTTACGTAAATGTAGACTTCCACTATAGAGATATAATATACATATACATATTTTAGAAAATTGTATTTTTATTTGAATCGTTTGAAATTTCAATTTTATAAGACTTGAATAATGAAAAAATATCTTAATTATGAAAAGAATGTTATTTATAACAAGTCCTTAGTCCCATCGACGACGCCTTGACTGTGGCTTCCTTTGAAAACTGATATCCCTTTCCTGACCATAGCTTAAAACTATTAAATGATCTTCTCCAACGTACGGTTAGAAAATTCATATTGTTTTTTTTTTACTTTAAATGTAATTTTTGAGTTTAGCGGCGGTGTTTTAAGTAAAATGAACAATTTTACAAGATGAACTATGTGCTTTACATGTGTTTCAAAGCAAATTTTTATTTATTTAATAACCTATTACATACACGTATGTACATATGTATGTTTATCGAATACGTTTAAAACTCAGCACCTGCCTCTGCTGCAGCAGGCACCTCTTTTATAACTTTCCTAAATTCTGCCACCTCACAACAGATAACTGCACCATCTTTCAATGACTCCGAAAGCCAACTAACTTGATCGCACTTACTCTCACAGATTGGCGCATGTGTCGAGGTTGAAATCCCAGTCTCCAACGCATTAACATCAGCATCATTGTATACAGCAAAAGCCATTGCTTTATCTTCTTCCTTTACGATAATCCACAAAAGTTCAGGTACGGGGAATTTACCATGTTCACCAGCTGCTGGATGAAGATAGAGCTCCATTTGTTTGCCATTAGCGGCACGTAACACTTGTATACCATGGCTACCTACATATATATCAAAAGCTTCATTTTTATTCGCTCTCTGATGAGCCAATATATTTTGCTTAAGCGTTGTCCATGCCGAGAGCTCGTCATGTGCAACAAAATAATTCCACGCCAGTTTTCTGACAGCAAAGAATTGTGGACTCGTTAGAAAGAAGTCATCTATGAAATTTGCTTTATGTAAGAAGGGCGCACGTTTCAAGTTCAATGTTTGACGCACACGTTCATAGATTTCATCGAAGTGTAGACCACGGAAGAGCTCACTTTTGTAGCGGCCATCTGGATGGCGGTGTTTTGTTAGAAAATCTTTTGGCAGGCGTTGTAGAGCTGTGGAATATACAGACATATATGTGTGTGAATAGAGAAATAAATATAAATAAAAAGAATTACCAATTTCCATTGGAACTTACCAGCGCCACTGCCGAGCTTAACGTGCGCAAAGATAGTACGTCCGGCGTTCTCATCATAACAAGCCTCGCCAATAATGTGCGTAAGACGATCCTGTGGATTGACATAGCCGAATGCCACAGCTGTCCATGTCGGCTCTGCGCAACCATTCACAGTGCTCAACACCTCCTCAACGACACGCAAATCACAACCGAACTGCTCCAACAGCTTTGGCGCTTTCTTGGCAACTGGTACATTACTCAAGACACTAAACTTTCCGCCGCTCTCACATTTCACATTTAAAATTTCCGCACGATTGTAATTCTTCAAGTAATTTGGACCACATGAAAGTAATACCTCTTCGTCGACAACTAAATTAACAGTTACAGATTGTCGCTCTGCATCAAATTTCGTTGGATATAATTCGCCATTGGGCTTATAGATCAGCGGCCATTGTACGCGGTTGTAATGTATGGAGGCTATGGGCACCACACACTCATCGAGAGTCTGGGCTGAAGCTAGTGTAAGCGCGACTAGTAAAATCCCGTATGCGACTAAACACATCTTGAACTGAAAATTATTTGATTGGAATGTCGTGCGCAAACTGTAATTTTATTTAAACCGAATTTGAGATTTTTAGCGAAACATGCACGAAGTCCGGTCTTATCAGTAGCCGAGAAAGCCAATAGTATACATATTTTTTTAATTTTACTGCACTTTTCTGGGCTTTTAATAAAAAAAATTATTGACCTCCAGAAACTGATAATTTATATTACATACATATGTATATTACATACATATGTATATGTATATGTATTTAATAATTGTATAAACAAGTCAAGTTTGTTTACATTACAAAATTCCAAGAAATACTGGACATTTATTTAAATGAGCTGAAAGCGAAAGTTGCAGGCATTTCCTGTACAGTTCAATTTTGAAAAAAAAAATTAAGATTCATTCTGCTTGCATCTGATGCTAGTCGGTTGTGGTCAGTAAGTGGTTGAAAATATCATTGTACGGAGTCTGTAGTGTCTTTCGTATTTCATGTACTGGTTCGGTTGACAGACCGACCCTATAATTCCCTCGTTGCCTGGAACTTCTTATACATCGACATTCTGCTTTTGAGTACATTTTCTGATGGAATCCGATGTGATTTGAATACTGCTTTGATTATACGATCACCGTCACAAATATTATATATAATTGGCGCTTTGTAACCGCTGAAGCGATTTTCCGCCGAGCTCCTCCAACAAACAGTTTATATTAAGCCTCCTCCGAACGGATGATGGTTTTTTATGAGGAGCTTTCGATTTTCATGCCAGATATACACTCGGAGAGGTTGACATTCCCTGCCGAGGGGCGGCCGCTATTAGAAAATTTAATTTAAATTTTTATTTACTTTGGTTGAAGATTACCGCCTAAAAAATCTGCTATGTTTCGTAAGTTTGAAGATTTGCATGCGATCAAGCTTATTTAATATAGAAAAATTTGCTTTAAAAATATGAAAAAACAGCATCTTAATTATGGCATTAATCCATTATATTTCGTTAATAACTTACTTTGGTGACAGCTCGATATCAGCGGCCTTCTATATAATTTTACACTCATTAACCAGCAGCAGAGAATTACACTGCCGCCGGAAATGTTTGAGAAAATTTATAAATGTACAAGATAAAAGTATTCAAATTAACTGCCTTTTGGCGCGGCCTCTGCAGTTGCATAATTTGCTGAATGCAAAAATTGCGCAACAGCTGACTCGCCAAGGGTTGCCACTCTAAATTTCTTTCTTTGCCTTTCCTCCATATCACGAAATGAACACACATTCCCAAAAGCACATACACATTTTACCAATATTAATTTCTATGTAACCCCCAATTATAAAGAAATTCTGCTGCTTCTCTTTTTGTGCTGCTATTTCCATCAGCTGTGCTTGGTATTCGCCGAATACACGATTGCATTTTTGCATTGGTAAGCGAAAAATAATCGCAATTTGTTTGTTATTGTCGGATGCACATTAAATTTATTGCAACGACGCAATGCAAGCAGTGAAAATATTAAAATAATGAAGAAATTAAAAACAAATGTATGAGTGCGGTTAGCCGGTCGTGTGCGGCGTGTAATAAAATATAAAGCGGAAAGCTATAGAAATATACTCGTTTGTATACTTTTTGCTTTGTGAAAGGGGCGCTTTGTTATTTGGTTGCCTTTATCAGCAAGAAGAGATAATAGAAGAAATGTTAATGTTTACATATGTACATACATACATAAATACATATATTTAGAAGAGTTACGGCATTAAAAAATAAATAGCGGGCTTACGTCTTGTGACATGCGCATCACTTGTAGCTACAACAATATTATTAATTATAATAAATTAATATATACATAATTAAATACATACAAGTGTGCATACGCGAAACAAGCAATGCGCTCATGTGCAAGTGTTTGTGGTGCTAATTAATTATAATTTCGTAATTACCTGCTTACAGACTATATTTTCCATTTGAAAAGTGCATAGAGTGAACAGTTTTGCCTAACAAGTTTTAATTGCAGAAAAAGAAAAACAATATACAGAAGTGCGCTTTTATTTCCGGTTTCGGTGCAACGTTCGCGGTTTTTTTCCTTTTACAAGTTAGGTGCTCACGAAGCCCCAACAGTGCGCGCTTTATTACGCCCTCATTTGGCTTGCCACACTGATTTTATATGCACATCTGTATGTATGTTTGTATAATTCTTGCGAAGAGTTACATACATATGTATGCTTACACCCATCTCTAAGCATTTTATCTGAACTGAACTGATTTACTGTTTCGAATTCGAAGTACTCTCTTGCGGTTATGCCTTTTTCATCCATTCGATCGCGTCTCTCCTCCTATCGTCGGCAAAATGATGATGCGGAAGTGGCGATTGTGGGCCAACAACGACGTCGCCGCACGGAATATGAAGGTATTAGAGGCCGAGGTGAGTACAAGCAAATGCTTTGTACCAAAATTGATAAAAAACATTAAATTGTACTTATTTACAAAATACTTATGTATGTTAATACACTTGTGTACATATTTATATGGCTCTGAATCACATTTATTTACTTATGTATAATTTTTTGTCCATTTAGTATAATTAAATGTGTACTGTAATCGCTTAAATATGCTGCGATTTTTTGTTTATGACTCATGGGTACTAAGCCGTGAGTGAAAAAAAGATAGCCGGTCCAACTGCCTGCTGCATTTCTTCTGAATCTTTCTTTCGGTGACATAACTGCCTTTACATCAATGCCAAGTGGTGCTAGGTTTAATAGCAATACCTTCTAGATTCCTTGTTTAGCGCGGTTGGCAAAGAGTCCGTTAGTGGTCCTTCTGAATTTTTCTGCCACACATGTGAAAATGAACTCCATCACATCAAGAGCTTTTGAAGCCTCAATACTCATTAGGAATGAATATGCCTCAAAGTTGTAGCCTGGCTCTATAAAACTCGAGCAATGTGCCATCATTTACTATGAGCTATAGAGAAAATGATGATACGGTCTAATAGAACTCTTACGTAACAGAATTCCCTATGATATCTGTTACTATCAGTCCCTTATCCTTTTCTTGAAGGGAAATCACCGATGGGTGGCATTAGATGGGCCAACTTAGAGATAAATATTAGTAATGAAAGAAAGTAGCTCCGGGGTCCAACGGGCTTGAATTAACAGTTAAGGAACATATCAAGTATCTCCAGTAGTGGTTTTGTACATATAAGAAGATGCGGTAGTCAAAACAATCTTACTCCATGGTGCTTTAGTATAATGTACCGCGGCCAGCAGAATTTCATACAAAAAACCATTGGATAGAATACACTGGACTCAACAAAGCTAAGAACCACTGCGCGGAGAGCACTGGAAGGGTTGCTGAATCCAGCACTACTTGGAATGACAGTGAAGAGCATTGCAGCAGAATCCGTTGTGAGATTCGTGATATTAGGTATATTTCCTGCAAGAACTGGCATCAGCAAAAGGAAAAGCAAGAAAATGGTAGACACATGCAGGGAAGGTTTCAACCCGCATTAAAACAAATGAATGGCGCTAAGCTAGACCTCAGACAACCCTTTCTAGCTTCCCGAGTACAATATTTACCAAGAGCAGCTGTCTATGCGGGAAGGAAACCCACAGAGCCAGCTAACAGAATATGGGAAACATAAACTTTAATAACCAGACGACAATTAAAGCATTAATCTCATACCGTGCAACGTCAGAAAATGTCATTAGAAGCGGGTAGACTGTGATTACGGTGCATATCTACCGGGTACCAGGCCACAAGGGTATTGTGTAAAACGGTATAGTTGATCCAATTATCACTGCTGCAAACCGTCTGGCGGAAAATAAAGTTTCCGAGAACGATGGAAAATGGAGACGGATCATGGTGAGTTGGAAAGCCTGAGGGAAAGGACACCCAATTTTGTTTTACGTGGTCTCCAAAGGACTGCAAGACAATTGTAAGATGGGCATTAGTTAAATTATTAATTATAATATTTAAAATGTAAAGAGGCAGTCATGAATAAATCGTTAGAACCTTCTCCTCCTCTGCGACTCTATCTAGTGCTCGTTTTAGAGATTTAGGAACCTCAATGTCAAGGCCTCCTAAATCTTCACAAAAGTCATACCTATGCAACGACTATTTTGCGATTTTCGAATTAAAGGGAACCTACTTCGGAAACTAGAAAGTACACTACAACAAGTCAATGTAAGGCGCAGCAGCCAACCAGTATAACCTAACCTAAAACCCAAATTTTTACATTTCTCACATATGATGTACGTGGGAGGATACATGCTGAAACTTAAGGTGCGTTCAAACGCATGTGGGCGTAATTAGTGTATGTGCAGTCACTCGTACCGGACAAAGTACCTAAAAATACTCCACGTACGCGTTTTTATGCGACTGACCTTATCAATTTGTGTCCTTGACGACGAAGCAAAAGCAATTACCTTGCATTAAACGTATTTTTAACAATAATGTATAAAAAATAATACAGTTAGTATGCCTACACGCCTAAAACTGGACTAGCTTTATCATTAAAGCTTGCGTTTGAATTGAAACAGAAACAAGTGACAGAGTGAGGAAATCAGTGATTTGTGTTGTTGGCACACCTTTTTGACCGGCGGGCGCCCACAACCTCCAAAACTTTCGTGTGATTCCTTTGTACTGCCACTCCTTTGCTGTCAACTCGCTGTCAGTTTGCTATTTGTCCACTGCCTAATGATCTTAAAAGTCACCTGTCGCTGTTTGTGTGAACTCAGCAAGTAATTTGGAGGTCGAGTTCGTAGAAAATGGAAAGTGCAGAATGGCAAATCTAATCAAACTAAATTTACACTGAGTTCATAAAACTTTATCTGCTTTTAGCGAGTATTTTATAATCTTCTTTACTGCTTCGCCGTATGTGGTAGCACATACTCGTATGTGTGTGTATGTCATTAAGAATTATTTGAAAGTCACTTTATAATCGTGTACTTTCGCATTTAATTATTGCCAGTCACGAAAAACTTAACCGTTAAGTACAATTCGGGAATTATTCGTATGAATTGCATTAAAAAAGTCAAATATTTTCATCATATAACTGCAATGGGCTTAATAATAATAAATATGTAATGTTTTAATAAAATTTAAGTTTGAAATAAAAGTAAATTAAAAATAAATTACTAAAAGTTGAGGAAAAATTAAATTAAATAAATCAAAAAGAATTTATTGGCCCATGAGGGGATCG